ATTAAGTCACGACAGCGCTTCAGCAGATTCTGACTCAGGCGATGAGGTGGAGTTGTACATGCACTGTCTGAGGGCTGTTCACACTGGGCCACAGGTCCATAAAGACAGGAACAAAGATACAGGCTTTAGTGTGGGTAAAAGGCCCTCCGTGAGCAGAAGCAAACTGCTGTCCACACCTATGCCGTCCATCAGTGAGTCTCTGGATGAAGAACAAAGCCTCAACCGCCTTCAGGACAATCATGAAGACACGGAGACAGCGGATATCGAACCCACATTTACAGCTCTGCCAGCGTCAAGTACACAGGAAAGCATCAACAGAAATGTTTCATGGTGGATAGAGACTTTTTCCTGCAGCAATATCTCAAAAACATTGTTATACGCCACCTTGTTAGTGGTATTTCTAGTTGTGGCCTACCATTATGATTTTCTTGCCTGTTTTGGGCTCTACTTGATATCACTGATTTGGCTCTGCTGTCACGGAGAGAGGCAGACAGGTAAAAACAACAACAGATTAGGCTGAATTAAATTGTTTAACATGGACTTCTGATGTTTATGAGTGTACAAAGTGCTGACACGACACCCACAAAGCTCTGCTCCCTTTTTCCTACATCCTACCGTACCACTATTTGATATTTCCCTTTGTCTGAAGATATTTAAACAAAACCTATACAATAAGTAATGGTATAAATAGTAGAAAAAGTAGAAAGAAGAAAAAACAAAGAAAAACCGTGAATAATAATGGGCATTTATTTAAATCATATATGACACATATCAGAATGAATGCTGTATATTCCCTATGGGAGGACGTTAACTCTCTGTTGTCAAGAGTATGAACCAATTTCCTTTATACGTTACTGTACATAAAGTTTAGCATCGACTCAGACAACAGGTTGCGGACCATTGCTCACACTGATCACTGAGAGTGTTAATGCATTTTTGAGTTGTAAATGAAACTTGTCAGCGTGTGTATTGATGCCACCTAGGAATAATTGTATTTGAGTAGGGTTTGTTTTAGTCTGGAATGAATAAATTGTACTATAGAGAAATAATTCAGTGTTTTCAATGGCTTTTTGTTACTAATAGTGTTCATAGCACTAATCTAAACAAACAATGGCCAGCTCAGTGTGAATAACTGTAGCTCTGACGCCAGTGTTGGGCAGTGACAATATTACTTTCCCCAGTAACTACTAGTATTTCAGTAATAATATTAGTTACCCTCCCAAAAAGTAATTAGTTACAATATAACTTTTGTTGGCATCCCCTTACTAATTTGAAATCCAACAATTCAGTCACATCCTTGGATTAATTTTGGTAATCCTGGAGGAAACTACTTAACCACAAATGTCAACCTCATGGTGGTGCTACAAGAAAAGTCAGAGCATGATGAATTAGGATTCATTCTGGGGACCATGAATGTTTGCACAAAATGTCATGGCAACCTAGCCAATAGATGTTGAGCTCTTTCAGTATGTACCAAAGTGGTGGCACGACAGACCGACACTGCCTTTCATAGTCACAATTCTAGTATTGCTAAAAACTGGCCCAAACTGACAACATTGTCTTCAAATACACATGACATTTTTCTGTAATAAACTAGACAGCATTTAGATTTAGTCACAAATAAACAGCAGAGTTAAAAGGCTACTTGGAATAGATCCTGTAAATGTCTGTAGTTAATAAATAACCCAACACCGATTCAGTGTTTTGTAAAAGAAAACATGAATGCCATCAGGGGTATGTTATGTCAGAGATCTGCGGTCATACCCTGAAACTCTACACGAACGCAGAAACCGGATTCTTACCTGACAGGTTGGATTCTTATTTGTGTTTCTGGTGTGATGAAATGCTTTTATCTCGGGCTGCATTCTGATCAAATCAGGTATCTTGTTATCACCACTTATCAGTATTAAAATATGTTTGGCATCAAGGTGACCAACAAAAGTATTAACCTGTACTTTCATACAGTTTAGTTGACATGTTCAAGGTGTAGCTTGAAAATCAGTATTTAAGCTAGAACAAACAGCAACCGTTTTTTAAATATTATTCCTCATATTCCGTATTTTTCTTATTTCTCTCTGGGAAAAAATGACTTCTTTCCCGAATGAAGTCAATCCAAATAGAAGACAAACTTTAGGCGAGGCCATGTACAGTACAGCTGACATGCTGACTTTAGTGTCAGTCCACAACAGTAAATCGAGTTAAGTAGAGTATTCATCTGACGGCTTTCAGTGCCTCTTCAAAGTAGTTGAGTCATAAGAATTAATGAACAGAGAGACAGATCATATCACTTGTAGCTATAGCAAGTTGATCTGCTCCCTTTTTGAACTTTGGCTTTTAGCTGCAGTGTTTTGAGCTGAACACAGCTGCAGTAATGTACTTGCCAGGGGATTTCCGGGCGGTCCGCTGTGAGGATTATCACTCTCTTTTGCCAGATGAACATGAACATTTTTAGCCACTAAAAGAAACACAACAACATTTTTGACAAGTCAGACATACAGCAGGGCATATCTGTCTGTGCAAAGAGAATTAATGACCTTTCCGTGCATTCCTTATTGTTCATATTCCTATTTTAGCCTTCGAGGACAAAGGTTTTACATTTTTTGCAAGTGTACCTTTTTTATAAACTGGAAATCAGAGTTCTGCCTGTCTTTTAGGGGTTCTAAAGAAGACCATGATGTTTTAAAGAAGGGTATCAGATCCAGCATATACTAACAAATTTCTTTTGTCAGTACGGTTATATCATTTGTTTTCTTTTAAAACATGAAATAACCCTGCTATTGGACCTGAAGTGATAGGTGTCACCCTCGCAACAATGCCCATGAAAACAATAATAAGACATTTTTACTATCGGTGCAGGTGGAGCTTATTCTGGCCACATAACATCAGAGCATTTTGGCTGATCCGTACACGTGGTGGACTACATATCCTGTTAATGACTTCAGTGTTTAATAGCTACCAGAGCCAGCCAACTGTCTTCATAAAAAGATGCCTGTCTGATCTCTTTCTTGGACTTTCTATCACTCGAATGCAGTGATAAATCAAATGTACTACAAGTATATGGATCAATGTTTAAAGCCAGGAAGTATCATAATGAGAAGCAGTAGTGCTGCCTTTTTACATAAAGAGTAGAAAAATGAAAAAAATTTAACCTACATAGTATATAGCACATACCAGTAATTACTTTAAAA